CATTCAGTCCTAAAAAGGATGGAAATTCAGACACATGCTACAACATGGAATAGCCCTGAGGATGTTGTATAAAGTGAAATAATCCAGACCCAAAAAGACAAATCCTGTATGACTCCACTTCTATGAGGTTCCTAGAGTAGTCGGATTCAGAGACGGAAAGTGGCATGCTGGGTGCAAGGGGCTGGAGGAAAGAGGCAATGGGGAGTTTGTGTTTATTGGGCACAGTTTTGGATCTGCATGATGAAAAAGTTCTGGGGATGGATGGTGGTGATGGCTATGGTAAAGCGAATGTAATTAATGCCACTGAACTGTACTCTTAAAAATGGTTCAGATGGTAAATTTTATGTTATGTGTGTTGCTAAATAACAAAAATTCAACCAAGTATGTTTTGAAGATCTATTTGGCTTTATGAATCAGACAGCATCCCGTCTGGCCAGCAGAGGGCGCTCAAAGGGCTACAGAAAAGGAAAGGTTTTTAAGGGTAGAGAAAGAGTGGAAATGAGGAAATGGATCAGCAGAGAATCCATTGTTTTAGGCAAGGTCACCCTTCTGAGGGGAACGGAGGGGTCCTCTCAGTGATTTCCTTGTGCTGACCAGGAAATTCCCATGTTGACTGCCTAGAGGTTATGTTTGTGGGGCTGAAACTGCACTCAGGTTGGGTACTGAGTGTTGGTTTACTGACTTGGGGCCTTCACCTGAGTGATGCCATTTTGGGCCCGTGGCGTTTTTTTATTTTATTTTACTTTATTTTATTTTTTATTTATTTACTTACCTATTGAGAGAGAAAGAAGGAGAGAGAGAATATGCCTGGGGGAGAGGGAGAGAGAGAATCTCAAGCAGGCTCCACGCTCAGCGCAGAGCCCGACATGGGACTTGATCTCACAACCCTGAGATCATGACCTGAGCCGAAACCAAGAGCTGGACGCTTAACTGACTAAGCTACCCAGGTGCCCCCTCATTAAATTTTTGAAGGAAAATATTATCTAAAAAAATGTGTTATTTACATTAACATGGGCACATTATTATTATTTTTTAAGTGAAATAATAAATATTTTAAATATTCAGTATCTAGTATGATAAATACCAGTAGACATAACCCACATTAACTAAAGCTCTTTGAGGTCCTGACCCTCAGCTCCAACTGCTCCTAGCTTGTACTGAATTCTCACAGTTGTAATAGAAATGAGGAAGGAACTCCTGCCCTGGGAAAATGCATGCATACAGTACATTGTGCAGGCAATTTCAAGATGTTCCAGACCTTCTGAAACCCATCTTCAGGATCACTGAGTATTTTGTTTGGAACTCTCTTATGTCCCATGATATTTATGGGAGATAAATAACTTGTCTGAGTGAAGCAAGTTTCGTATGCGTTTTCCAGCCCTTTGTCCCCTCAGGCTAGAATGCCCTTCCCTCTCCTAGTCACCCACACAGATCCTATTATTCATCTTCCGAGGGCCAATTCGAACGTCTCTCCTCTGGTAAGAGTGACCTGTGTTTTCTTACGAGCTCCCAGAGTAAGCTGTGTCTTCAGGCCGGTCCTGTATGGCTGCCTTATTCTCCAGGTATGTGTCACCTGCTTGCTTCTCCACGAACTGTTTCAGTAAGTTGTTGTCATTTTTTTTTTAAGATTTTACTTATTTACGTGACAGAGAGAGACACAGCGAGAGAGGGAACACAAGCAGGGGGAGTGCGAGAGGGAGAAGCAGGCTCCCCGCCGAGCAGGACCCTGGGATCATGACCTGAGCCGAAGGCAGACGCTAACGACTGAGCCACCCAGGCGCCCCCTCCAAGAACTGTTTCAATCCGTACATGTTGTTACTCAGCCCTGACACTGGCACACAAGAGAAGATGCAGAAGCATTTGCTAGATGAATTCATGGATATTAATTATTCCTAAGAAACACCAGTCAAAACATTCTGACATTTAAACGTATTTGTAATGCTCAACCCCTCCCCCCCATCAGGGGCACCTCTGTTCTTATGAATGGGGAATCCAAAGGGATGAGAAAGAAAAAGGAAGAAAGGTGGAAGAGAAAGGAGTGGGCATGAAAGCGCATGCCCTCCCTTGCGCTCTGCGTCCCCCATATGGTGCAGCCTGGCAGCTGGGGCTTGAGTGTGGAGGGCCTGTTGCCCATACCTGGGGCATGGGGGCTGGGTGAGGGTGGAGGGAAGAGGGTGAGAAGTAACTATGAAGCATGGGGTACTGGTGATGGAAAGGTCTGTGGTGGTGCGGTTCCTCTGGAAGGGCGTACTCTGGGCACAGAGGGCGGCGGGAGGGGGTTGGGCTCTTGGAGGGTGGGGGCCAAGCAGAGCCAGAGATTGAGAAAGGGTCAGATAAGAGGTGAGAGGAATCCAGACACCAGCTTCCCAGTTTTGGGTAGGGCCCTATTCCCTCCCCAATTCCCAAAGGCCAAGGCAGCTGCCACCAAGACACCTGCCACCAAGACTTTGTTTCTCTCCCCACCACCAGAGCCTTCTCCAGTGTGAGATGCACAGGGCCGAAGCAAACACCTGGGAAAGGGTGGCAGGCAGTACGTCACACCTGACATTGGGATTCTGACTTCCAATCCAGCTGGAAGAATTTTCATGGGGCCATCTTTGACCGGGCAATGAGCCTACAAGGATTCTTCTCTACTACTTTTGACATCAACTACAGGCCCAGGGCTTAGTGTCCAGACCACAGGGACACTTACCTCCTTCTTCTCTCACTTGTCCAAGCCTTCCAAAGAGGCCACTTCTCATCGTCCCTACCCTTTCCCCTCACTGTCCTCATCCTGTCCCTGTCCTCCCATTTCTCTCACCAGGGGCACTGTTTGTTTCCCCCTTACCCACCTGTTACAGGCTGAACTGTGTGTCCTCCTAATTCCTAGGAAGTCCTAACCCCTAGGGCCTCAGAATGTAACGATATTTGGAGATGAGATCTTTAAAGAGGTAATTAAAATGAGGTCTTTAGAGTAGACCCTCAACCACTATGACCGGTGTCCTTATAAGAAGAGGAAATTTGAACACAGAAACACACAGGCACAGAGGAAATGCCATGGGGGGACACACCAAGAAGGGGGCCATCTACAAACCAAGGAGAAAGGCTTTAGAAGAAACCAACAATGTAGTCACTCTGATCTCGGACTTCTGGTCTCCAGAACTATGAGATAATAAATTCTATTGTTTATGCCCCCCAGGCTCTGGTACTGTGTTACAGCAGCCCCAGCTGACTAATACACCATCTAATCCATCCTTCAAGCTCAAGACTACTTCAAACTAATTAAAGACATGTTGATTAATTCAAGCCGAAGGGAGCTCACCACTTCCCACACTCTGGGCACAGTAGGGCCTGGTCTCAGTGGAGGACCTGATACATGGAGCATCATTTCATGATGTTGCTGGGGCCTTCTGGTGTCTTACTGAATGAGTCTTGCCTGAATCAAAAAGTTCCTCTTCCAGGGGCGCCTGGGTGACTCAGTCAGTTAAGCGTCCGACTCTTGGTTTTGGCTCAGGTCACGATCTCAGGGTTGTGAGATCGAGCTCTGCGTCGGGCTTTGTGCTCAGCATGGAGTCTGCTTGTCCCTCTCCCTCTGCCGCTCCCCTGGTGATCTCTCTCTCTCTCAAATAAATAAATAAATAAATAAATAAATAAATAAAATCTTTAAAAAAGGAAGTGTCTCTTCCAAGGCATCAGCTTATCAATTAAAATAGTTCTGTGTGTGTGTGTGTGTGCGCTGTTTTTTTTTTTTAAGATTGATTGATTGATTGATTGATTTTTGAGAGCCAGAGAGAGAGAGTGAGCACAAGTGGGGGGAAGGGCAGACAGAGAAGCACACTCCCTGCTGAGCAGGGAGCCCGATGCGGGGCTCAACCCCAGGACCCTGGGATCATGACCTGAGCCGAAGGCAGATGCTTAATGACTGAGCCACCCAGGCGCCCAGAGATTTATTTACTTTAGATAGTGGTGGGGGGAGGAGCAGAGGAAGAGGCAGAATCTCAAGCAGACTCCCCGCTGAGCATGGAGCTCAATCTCACAACCCTAAGATCATGACCTGAGCCAAAATTAAGAGTCAGACAACCAACTGAGCCACCAGGCGCCCCTAAAATCGTTCTTAGAGAAGAGTTACTTGGCAAATTGTAACTGGGGTGGTTGTGACCCTCGCTGGGGATGGTACCTCCTGTGAGCAGCAAGGGCAAGGTCTGGGTGAGAGAAGGGGGGGGATGTTCTTGTGTTCTTTATTAATTCAATCCATCCTTCTCTCTTGGGAGTGCTAAGGAAACATCTCTTATCCTCTCTGGAATTACCCAGATGTAGCTGGACATTGGGGTCCAGAGTCCACAAGTGGACGAGTGGCAGGTGCCCCCTACAGATGAGGCCAGATGATGCTGACTCACAGTGCTGCTCTCAGCGAATCCCCCTGAAGGTGGCAGTGACACCCCATCACCGGTGTCAACCCAGCATCCAAGGGGCATCTCTGAAGGGCACCTTGGGCTTTGTGGCACATGAGGTGATACCCAGAAACCTCCTACATATCTCAAAGCACACTTGGGGCCTGGTGTAGGTCTTTTAGGCTCTGGTGCTCCTGTAATCACAAACCACACTCCTCAGCAAGTGAGGGGCCAGGTCCCTAGCAAGAGCCCAGGAACTGTCCCCAACCAGAAGTGGGCTTCACCAGCCTCTCAGCCACAGAACTGAGAGAGGGCGGCTCCAAACCGGCACTCAGCCCCACCCCACTCCATAATTTTGGAGAAGCAGGAGAATCCACTGCACCATCACTCCCACTCCCTTCCCCTCGCCACCCCAAATACACACCCACAGCAATGTGTCATCACCTGGGAAGGACCAGCTGAGCTACAGAGCCAGTTTCACCTGAGCCCACGTATAAAATCATTTCTGATTAATGCCATGGAAAATTAAAGGGCAGAGAGAAAATCAAGCCAATGGGGAGGAGGGGAGACAAAGGAGAAAGAAGAACAAAAACCTTGCTGGGATCATTGCTCTCAGGGTCCCCAGCTTACTGGTTCTTGGAAGTAGAGCTGGTAATCAAAAACAGGATTGGCTTTGATCCTCTCCATTGGGGACACATTGGGATTTGCCGGTATGAAGGGAGTATTCAAGCTGGCCACTGCCCTGTGGAAAAAAAGACACCAAGACACAGACCCTGTAAGAAGACAGTCTGTAAGAACCAGAAAGGACCTTACACATCAAAATGGAAGCTCAGAGCAGGAAAGGGATGTGCACAAGATCTCACATTAGCCATGTGTGTGAGAATGGGGTCAGCACTCTGATTTCTTGACTCCCAGCCCAGTGGTTTTTTCCCACTAAACTGCAGTATTTCTCACCTTCTTGCCTGAGACAAAGACACATTGGCACACACATACACATTATGTGCAGTATATCAACCTTAATTAGATTATAGTTTCTAAAAATGCATTCATTTTTTTCCTTCCTTCCTTCCTTCCTTCCTTCACTCACTTAACTCTGTGTTGAGTTAATTCCGTGCTATATTCTAGGGGAAAGAGGATATAAAATCATACTCAAAGAGCTTATTATAATTTAAAAAGGCTAGACAAATACACCCATGACAAGACAGACTGTGATATGAGCCATAAGAATAGCACAAGCACCATGGGAGTTCAAGGAGACAAAGAGTTTCTAGATTTGGGCATCATGGAAGGTCTCACGGAAAAGAGAGCATCTGAACTTGGCTTTTAGGGGTGGAAGAGCATAGGGAAGGGGAGACTATATGTAAGGGCAACATCATGGGGTCGTATGAGCAAATTCTAGAAGGGGGCAGAGCTTGTGGCTGAGTTTGATGTAACAAAGAATCTATGTGGCCAGAGGCCAAGCGTTTAATGGGGCCTCTTGTGAAATAAAGCCAGTGAGGCAAGTGGGAGCCTGGACATGAAGGGCCCCGAGTCTGGATTCGATGAGGCAGACAACCAAGGAAACCATGAGGGCTTCGGAGAAGAAGGCAGGAACAGAATGAAGTTGCAGTCAGGAAGTGATGTATCAAGCAGTGATACATGACATGGGGGCAGAGAGGGACACCAGAAGCAGGGAGAGGGCCAGCACACTACTGCATTAGTCACCCAAGAGCAGCAGGATGGCAGCGAGAGGAAAAAAAGAGAGGGGTAGATCTGAGCAACCACATGAAGTCAGGGCTGACAGAAGGCAGCCAGGACCACGGTGAGCCTGGCTCATCAGTAAGGGATCCCGTGCCCACTCTGATCCTAGGGTAACTCCTTCCCAAAAGAGAAATATGGAGAAGAGAATATCTGGGGGAGAGATAAACTAGGAGGAACGGGATAACTAGGACAAATGAAATTATCAGGGAAAGCAGTGCCGAGGTTTAACCAGTGCCAACCAAGAGAAGCATAATGTGAGCCACACGTATCATTTAAAATCTTCTACCAGGGCGCCTGGGTGGCTCAGTCGTTAAGCGTCTGCCTTCGGCTCGGGTCATGATCCCGGGGTCCTGGGATCGAGCCCCGCATCGGGCTCCCTGCTCG